TTATTTATCCACAAAACTATTATATATTTAGGTTTTGATGTTACGTGTAAATAGTTTAGTTGTGCAGCAATTATTTAATGTTACTAAAAGTATCCGTTGTTTCGACGTTAATATATCAATGGATAAAGCAGCTATTGTTGACGATGAAAACAATTGTTCATTTTTTGATATGAAATCAAAAAAGCTTCTTTTTCAAGTAAATACTTGTGTATAGTACTACTTATTATTACTTATGTATAATTTTCTAACTTAAAATGACATATTATATGATTTAGGAGTCTGATATTACAAGTGTAGTTTGGAATTCAAAATTTTCTGACATGGCATGTTTTTCTGGTAAACATATATTTAATATCAAAATAAATGGATTTCCAGCTCATCAACAACGTATCATAGTAATAAATTAATTCAATTAGTATCAACCATATTAATGTAATCTAATAAAATTCTATACATATTATAGGGACATGTAATTGGCATGTGGGGTTCTAAAATATTCTCTCTAAATGATTCTATAGTATCAGTTATTGAAGTTGCATTATCAGTTCCACTATATCAATATTTAGAAAATAAATATTTTAGGTGTGTAAAAATTGTTTTTGAGTAAAAATAATAATTCATTAATTATTAACTTGTATTTATATTTCAGCAAAGCTTATCAAATTGCTTGTCTTAATGTCACTGATACTGATTGGAAAATATTAGCTCGAGAAGCCTTAGAACATTTTGATCTCTTAATTGCCAAGAAAGCTTTTGCGAAAATTAATGAATTAAAATACTTGGAATTAATTACGCTTTATGAAGTAAACAATTTTGACTCATTTTTTTTATACATATATATACATGATGATTCAATAAGCATACTCATCCTTTTTTTCAATAATGAACTATTTGTATTTTTTTTTTTGTGATTTGGGCAACATGGCAAATATGCATTCAGCAGATCCAATCATGTTTTTTCAGCTTAACTATTGAAGTGAATTTGATCTATTATCTAACATAACTTTAAGAACATTAACTTTTTTTTATATTAATTGTTATTTTTATTCAAATGTTTGTGTAACGAGTATGTAAAATATTACTATTTCAAAATACTAAATTTTGAAATTTATGTAAAAGAAAAACTAAAGATAAATTACAAAAATAGATATTTGATATTAGCTCAATTCACTACACAAAATTTGTTTAGTTTTTCTGAATACAAATTGTCCATGTTGTGTTTCAAACAGAGAGAAAAAAAATAGTGTTGTGATATCTTAAAAGCAAATTGAGATAAATGGATATAGAATATTAAGATACGTAGGACGGTGCAATACGATTGCATTAGTTATGTTATGAACATTATCATTTGTTTTTTTAATTTATATCTAAAAGAATTTTTATGTAGAATCCCTCAAAAAAATCAAAATATTTCAATTAATATTAAATTGTTTATTTAAATATTTAAACATTAATCTATTGGGTGTATTTTAATTTAAAAAAATTTTATATTTAAATGGCCATGTTAATTTTTTGTAGATAACTTCTTAAGACTATAATATATTGATAATACAGGATGATTCATGGAGCGTACAACACTCATTATTTCCAAAAGTGTAAATGTTTTTGAAAATATAATTTTATATAGCTTCAAGTCATTTACAAAACCATGTTTTTATTAAAAAATTATATTTTTAACATTTTTTTATCCCTATAATTTTTTAAGTTTTYACTTTTTTRAATGACAACATGTAGTTTTAATTTGATATTCCAAAACAGAATATTTTTCTAAGAATTTCGATACATAAAAATTGAATTATGGCAAGTAGTTTATGAGTTATAAATATTTAAAGTTTAGATGAGTGGAGTAATGGACAAATATGTCGCGGGGTAACCCCGTACCATTCTACTTCGCTCATCTAAACTTTAAATACCTATATCTCGTAAACTACTCGCCCTAAATTCAATTTTTATATATCAAATTACTTAGAAAAATATTCTGTTTTGGAATATCAAATTAAAACTACATGTTGTCATTGAAAAAAGTAAAATACTTAAAAAAATTATAGGGATAAATAAATGTTAAAAATATAATTTTTTAATAAAAACGTCGTTTTGTAAACAACTTGAAGCCATGTTAAATTATAGTATCAAAAACATTTACACTTTTTGAAATAATGAGTGTTTTACGCTTCATAAATTACCCCGTATAGTATATAAATTATAAACAGCTATATTTGAATTTTAAATGTTTAAAAGGAAAAAGGATTACACAATGAAAAAGACAAACACTGCCTACTAGCTGATGTACTTGCCTATGAAGGAAAGTTCAAAGAAGCTGCAAGAATTTATCAAAAATGGGGTTTTGAACATAAAGCTTTTACCATGTATACTGATTTGAGAATGTTTGATTTGGCACAAGTACTTTATATTTATTTGTAAAACTATTGATTTCTGATCCAAAATAAATTTATTAACTGGTTCTTAGGAATTTATTGGATCAAATACGGCTGGTGAAAATAAAGAATTACTTATTAAACGTGCTGAATGGGCTATGAGTATTGATGAACATAAAGTTGCAGCAGAATTATATATTTCAGCCGAAGAATTTGACCGTTCTATTGATATTATGGTTCATAATTGTTGGACACACATGTAATTCTATAGATAATAGAACCATTACAATTTACCATTTACTTCTTTGTTGTATGCTTATTTCTAGGCTGTTAGAACTTGGACGTCACGCTGACAAAGCTGAAGAAGAAGTTCTAAGTAGAATTGGTGATGAGTTACGTAAACTAGGTGATACAGAAAGTGCTGTTGAAATATATGCTAAATTGGGCAAAGATATGGGACCTGAAATAGTATCTTTGCATGTAGAAGCTCATAATTGGGATCAAGCCTTTGCCCTAGTTGAAAAAAATCCAAGTTTTGCTCCTCTAGTTTATTTACCGTATGCTGAATGGCTAGCAGAAAATGATAAATTTGTTGAAGCACAAAAAGGTATTAAATTTATAATCTTATTATTTTCATTGTTTTACTGCTATTGAAAATTATTTTCTTTTCTTTTTTTAGCTTTTCTTAAAGGTGGCCGACCAGAACGAGCATTCCAAGTATTACAAATGTTAACTGAAAACGCTGTTGACGAACAGCGTTTTCAAGATGCTGGTCATTATTATTGGTTATTAAGTAGACAATATTTGAATATTGCTTCAAATAGGTAAATACCTTATAACCTTGGTTAGATATAAAATCCTTAAATAATACATACAACAAAAAGTAATTTATTATTTATTTCAGTGATGTAAACTCTATCAAAATAATAGACCAATACAATTTATATGACAAGTATGCTTCAATATATTATGCATACAATGCTATTCACCGTTACATGGTTTGTATAAATCATGATCATACATCTTGTTTGCTTTTCTTTTATATACTCAATGTAATATTTTCTGCACCTTGTTATTTTAAGGAGGATCCTTTTATGTCTTATCAACCAGAAACTTTATTCAATATTTCACGATTTCTCATGAATGAGACAAATAATATACATCTAAAAGGAGTTTCAAAATTGTAAGTTATTTAATTATATTAAAACAATTTTAGCTTATATCAAGTTATATATGTCTTAAGTAGTTTACTTTTGATATTCAAATGCCCATGTAATAATTTAAAAGTTATGGCATAAAAGGAAAATTCAACTTACAATAACAAAATAATTTTTGAACTAAAAATATTTTAATGTAACATTGTATGTTATAGTGCAATATTATACACATTATCAAAACAAGCACTTACTATGAGAGCATTCAAGTTAGCCAGACAAATTTTAACAAATTTACAACAGCTGAGAATCCCTTCTGAATATCAAGTAATATTATTTACTTACTTTCAAAATACAATATATAACATACAATTGTTTATTATTATATACATCAAGGATTTTGTTGACCTTGCTTCATTGAGTATTCGTGCTAAGCCATTTCATGACAATGAAGATCTTTTATCAATGTGTTATCGCTGTTTGACTTATAATTCTCCAATGGTTCAAACATGTATCACATGCAATCATAAGTTTATATATTCCCACATAAAATTCGGTTTGTATTATTGTATGAATAATATATTATATATCCAACTTAAAAGACATATTATGAAATTAACTATTTTAATTCATAGAAGATGAATTTTTAATAAAAGCATTTTTAAAAAACCCAAAATGATTATTAATGTTATTTAGAATAATTATTAGCTATAATATAGCATTAGTAGTCTGAAACTACAATAAATAGTTATCATGAGTTCTAAACAAAAATAATTTAACACATATTTGTTATTTAAATCTATCAGAAATTTTACCATTGATTGAATTCCAATTGGAAGAAAATATATCAGATACTGAGGCATTGAAATTAATACAAAATGCTTATGAAGAGAGTAAACCCATTGAGTCTGAAAATAAATCTCAGAAAATGAATACGCTAATTTTAAATGAAGAAATTCATGATGAAACAGTCGACCCATTTACATACAAACTTTTGAATTTTGAGGTGAAACTTTCAATTGCTTTTTTATTTCATAATTTTATAATTAATTAAGTCATGTTTAACATGAGTAAATCACTACTTGATTTCTAAGAAAAAATTTATAATTATGCTTTTATAATTGTTATTTTTTACTTAGAATAAAGAAAATACTTATCAACCCATAAAAGTTAACAATACTATATTACAATCCATGAACACTACTAGTATAATAGTTTGTAAATGGCCCAAACCATTGAAGTTTAAATACTACAGAAATGTATTACCTGGATTTTTAGTGACTAACTGTCATAGTTKTTTTAAGGTACCTATATTATTTAATTTTTTGCACATATTAAAATTTGTTTAGTGATAATAATAATTCTTGTTTCAGATGTTCCATGCAGATGAATATGAAGTTGAAGTTTTAAGATTAGGACATTGTCCATTTTGTAGAACAAAGACAGGATAATAATAAAATATGGACATGAATAAAACTGTTTGTTTTAAGACAAAAAAATATATATTTGAAAAATATTAAGCATCAGGTTTCTTGCTTTTACCCAACTTCTTAAGGGTCAATGTAGCTCGTTTTTGTGATTCCAAAATGGCACTAGCTCTCCTCAGAGAAGCCTAAAATATCAATCATAAATTAATTTAATTTATAGTTAATTATTTATTTTATTTTAAATTACAGTACCTGGATAAGGTCTTTTCTGTAGTTGTTTCCAAGCAAATATTTACGCAACTTGAACAATGACCTTCTTGGACCACTAGTAAAGTTTACTTTCACAAGAGACTTTCCTGGTTTATTCTAAAAAATATGAAGGAACTAGTCACATATTTTGAAAGTGGAGTACAGATTCCAGATATCTGGATTATTACGATAAAGTTTGGGTTTAATTAAATTTTATACATACAATTAGGTACACATCCTAATTATTTTATCTAATAGTAGGATTAATATTTAATATAAATTTATTGATGARTTGTGTACTACTCAAAAACCTTAACTCATACTATATTAATACAGACAACAATAAAGCAATTAATAATGTCTATTAATAGTAATATTGAAATAAGTTGAAGAGCATACCAAAAGCTTTACTAAAAATGTCATTGAAAATAATATTAATTGGTAGTGCAGCTATTCACTAGAAAAATAATCACAGTTGTTGGGGCATTGAATATTGGAATCCAATTTAACCAAAATTCTTTATTAATCAGTTAGGCTTTACCGTAATATTGAAATAAATTCATAAAAATTAAATATTTATCACAAATTAATAAGTGGATGTCATTAATCAAGCATTGTAGATTATTTATTTATTATACCTAACAGGTAAATGACAATTAATGAAACTACTTTATACAAATTTTCATGGTTAAATAACTATCAATGTTTAACCAAAGTTATCTAGCATAGGCAACTTAGAGTACATCATAACTATTAAGAAACATCATTAGTTACCATTTTATAATGGSTTAATATGATACTACTATACTACCATTATACCAATAATTTATCAGATTTCAAAATATTATGTTAACTTCAAATTATATCAGAGTTGGTGAAGCATTATTCATCACTTAAATTATTGGTATTATGTAGTTTTAAAAGTTTATTTCATAAAAAATCTTAATCTACTTAAAGAATGAATAAATCTAACAGAAATTGTGTTCAATATACATGTTAAAATTAAAATTGTATATTATTTAATATCATAATACTGAATCAGAAATTGTTAGTAACTATGGAACTGATTAGTATGTATACTTTGTACCACAAGAGAATGCATACATCTAGCAAACCCATACTGCAATACATGACCAACAAGCTCTGAAAGCATATAACTTGTTTTGTTGAGGGGGAAGCTTATGGGCTTGATAAACGAGTTTTAGTCAGCTGCTTTATGAGTTCTTTCTAGTACGGAATATAGACATATCATCACGTTAAGTAGATAAATTAATAATAAAATGTTGTAGAAGCCATATTAGATGTTGACACACCAATCAACAATTTCCTACCAATTTGTAGTACTTATTTATTTACGAAATTGGGTTAAATAATATGCAGCATATAGAATTGCCAATTTTAGTTTATAAATAATGGTCTACAATCATTAGAATCAATGCTTATAATTTATACTCACTGCCAACTTGCGCTTTTTAGTAATGACTGTGAAACCCTTGTTATTAGGAGCAGATTCCACACCAATGCTGTTATCGTGTACAAGACCATTGTAGCGTTTTGATGCCAAATTGGTTAAATTCATTGGTTCCTGGCAAATATATTACAATTTAAGCCATGTATTAGAAGATAAAAATATATTAGTTTTATTTATTTGGAACATAGAAGATTACAATTTAACATACTTTACTGAATGGTTTCTTAATGTTAGTTTTCTTTGACAAAAACGCATTATTGTTCCTGATTATCATCCAGCTTAGATCGGCCGACATAGTGAACGAATCTAAAGTGAACAAAAAACATTAATTCATTATGTTAATAGGCAAACAACGCGACACATGGTTCAATTGAAAAGAGTTCATAATATCACGTTAAAACAAATAGACCAAAAGAATACATGTGAACACACTATATTTCAATACTTAACCATCAACAAAAATTGTATTTACTTACATATTGTCCAAAATTTAGGAAAATTACTAAAAAAGACGTATGAATCTCCCAAATAAGATTAAATAAAATTTTGACAAATGTCAACCCGACTCAAAAGTCAAAAGTAACCTCAAAGTAATTAATAATTATCAAGCAATGTACAATGTTCCCAATTCCTTCCCAAACATAGCACAAAATTGTTCGTGGAATAGCAATATATGTTGGTGTGGTATTACTGATACAAATGAAAAATGCGCTTAAAAACAAGCCTACCAGGATAATGGCGCCAAATAGTAATAGTTTAAAATAAAAAGGAATACAATAATATATTATTATTATAAGACTTATTTAAGCTTTATAAAATACAAATGCAATCATAGACAACATTAATATAATAATTACTAATAATATCTACAATCATGACCATCCTTATTTGTAAAAGAAAAATCATATGAAATGTATATTAATTATTAATATAATAATCAAGATTTTCAGGGAAGAAATTGGTGTGTATCGATATACGATACGTATCCAATTTTGAGTGTTCAAGAAGTTACACGTTCAATATACAAGCTATATATACCGACCTGTATCGATCTTAGACTTCGATACGAGTCGATAGGTAACACAATTATTCTCAGTCAATAGTTCAATACGTTGAGGTTTGGTYATGATTTAAGGAAAACTCTAATCTTTATGATCAAAACGACACAATCCATGTGGCATGTATATTAAATCGTGGCCACTTGGTCACAGCTCACACGTGATATTAGTATATCACATGGGAATTTAAATCATTTTAAGAATCAGCTATTCATCTACTCTGTGATTCAACTAACTTAAAGCATTTTCCACTACACTGCACACTGACTGCACCAGACACCAGTACATAATTTTATGTACCAACGGCAAAAATTAAAGTGCACTGATTGGACTTTTTTATGTTTCACCTCAATACACTACACCAGTTTTTTGCAGTTTTGTAGTGCATTTATAATCGCATGAGCAGCAGCTCCCGCAGCTCGTGCGCCTTATCATTATCATGATGACGATGAGTATCACAGTACTACCACAGAATACATGAAATATATTATAAATATATATATATTTCATATATTCTGTGGTACTACAGTCCTAATACTAGGTAATATATAAGGTTAATGAACAATACCAATTAAATATTTTATTGTCTTTATACAGAATGTCCCATGTGATTTACCCATGCGATATCTCTCGAAATAATGGAAACATTAAAATTCTGGTTTTGTAATAAGACTCGCGGGGATAAGAATACAATTACATAATTTTAAAATTTATTTTAATGTTTAGGTAAAAATTTAAGAAATGTATTTTTTATTAAATTATTTTCAAAAAAATTTAAGATAACCATTTTGCAATTTTCTGAAAATTTTGAAACGTCAATATTTTCAGAAAAATAAATTCTACAAAATGGCTGTGGTCAATTTTTTTGGGAATAGTTAAATAAAAAAAGGGGGGTAAGTCATGGATGTCGCTCTTCTGTACAGTAGGTTACAAGAATGTAGGAAAAAAAAGCCACGGAAAAAAAATCCGTATATATTATATATATTATTTAAAGACACTTGCTTAAAAAGCGAAGATCAATATTTTACTTTGTTAATACTGAAAAATAAAAATAAAATAAGTCGTGAAAGTCGCTCTGCTGTACAGTAGGTTACAAGTGGGTTACTGTAATGGATGGAATTAAATTTGAATCCAATGATATTATATCATTGTATACGAAAAAC